GAATTTCTATGCCCCGTGATTTTCATCGATTTTTGTCACTACATAACCCTTCTCAACGGCTTTTAACAGTTCAATGCTAACCCAGCACCCATGAATTGATCTTTCCTCATTAGTATGCACACACCAGTGCTAGGCCGAACGGAAGAACCCGATACTGGTACGCTTCGCCCCCGAAAGCGAACCTCAGGAACTTCCTGTGTTGTGGAAGGATGGAAATGTGGAAGTACGCGTCCTTTAGATCTATCGTGACAAACCAGTCCTCGGACCTGACCTGTGACACGATCTGCTTGAGAGTAAACATTTTGAATTTGAGCTTCCCTACTGAGCGATTTAACAGGCGCAGATCTAAAATTGGACGCAACCCCCCCATCCTTCTTTGGAATGATGAAATATCGGCTGTAATAACCCAACTCTCTGCTGGGAGGAAGAACTCGTTCTATAGCCTCCGTCAGCAGGAGAGTTTTCACCTCCTGTTCCATAACCAGAGCCCGCTTGGGGCCCACCACTGTGGGCAGAACCCCTCTGAAGCGAGGCGGGCTTGATCTGAACTGAATCGCGTACCCCTTCTCGATAGTCTTCAGGACCCAATGAGATACATTTGGAAGGCTTTTCCACTCTGCCAAAAATTCTACTAAGGGTACCAGTCTCTCGAGACTGGCCTCTGGAATATTTTGAGTGGCAGACACAGTGCCCTGTAATGGCGCACCGGCAGGGAACAACTGGTCTGACCACTCTAAACCGCTCCTCAGAGCGGGCGAGCATCCCTCGGGAAAGGATGCTCGCCGGGACCGTCTACGCCCCGGCACGCAGGCGGGGTTGGCAGAACGGCCCCCTGAGGGCACCGAGAGAGAACGGGCGCCGTGTACTGCAGCGAACACCTTTCTCTCTTGGTGGGGACCACCCTCAGTACCCTGACGTTTCTGGCGTCAGGGCTTCTTCTTCGACGAAGCCTTCCTGGCGACAATAACCGTCCTCAGATCGGCCTTGCCCCAGGAAGACCTCGTCTGAGAGCACCGCGCCTCGGCCCAGTCTTGCTGGGGAGGAGCACGAGACGCGACCCTCCTTCTCTGTTGCGCCCGGTGTGAGGAGCTACTCGACGGCCGGGGCTGCTCCCGCCCAGCAGCCCCGGAGACATGAACACGGAGGGGGAGAAATTTCTGGAGCGCCGCCGCCGCCTGCTTTTTCTCTTCCTGAAACCTCTCGATGACCGAATTCACTGAGTCACCGAAGAGGCCAGCAGTTGAAAGCGGGGCGTCCAGGAGAAAAGATTTTTCCTTTTCTTTCATGTTGGATAAATTCAACCATAAGTGTCTCTCCGTTGCCACCATGGCTGCCATAGAACGGCCCACTGATTTGGCCGTCTCCTTGGTGGCACGGAGAGATAGATCTGCTGCCTGACGTAATTCTCAAATTACGTCAGCACTAATTTCATCCCCCTCACTCATATCTTTTAATAGGTCTGCTTGATATGCTTGTAATATCGACATAGTATGTAAGCACGCTGCCGCTTGACCTGCTGCCGAGTAAGCTTTGCCCACCAAAGCCGAGGTAGTTCTTAATGGCTTTGTGGGAAATGCCGGTGTCTTAAATGACAATGCCGTATCTGGAGATAGATGGCTCGCTAGCGTTTCTTCAGCCTTAGGCATCGCCCCATAACCATAATTCTTAGCCCCAGAAATATTTGAATAAACAGATGTTTGCTGGCTAAATATTCTGGATGACACTGGTCTTTTCCATGACCTCGACACCTCGGTGTGGAGGTCAGGAAAGAATGGAAGACACCGCCGTGGAGGTGCAGCACGAGACGGCAGAAATCTTTCATCTAGTTTACTTTTTGAACGAGATTCCTGTCTATCAGCTGGCCACTCGATGCTTAATTTTTCTACAGCACGAGTGAGCACCTCCTTAAGCTCCTCACTAGCAGGAGACTGAAGTGACGAGTCCCCAGTCTCTGCTGTATCAATACTTTCAACATCCAGATCCTCAGAACTGGATAATTGAAGTGATGGTGCCTCAGCCCGGGGGAAAGAAACCGCAGCGCGTGCTTCCACAGCCGGATCTGAGGCACTGGATCTACCAGGTAAAGGCTGAGATAAGGCAGAGCCCGTCTCAATCCCCGCTGATAGATCCATTTGCGATCCCCACGATTGAAGCCTCCGCTGTGCCTCGGCAGCAACGGGACCCGAACCGCGGGGAGCGCGCACCGAACCACTCTCCTCGAAGAGGGCTCGGCGGGAGCGGAGCGTTTTCATTGACACACTCGCAATGCTCGCAACCAGCTCCCTCGAGAGCTGACTGGGCATGCTGCACTCCCATACAAACAACACACAGATCGTGAGTGTCCCCACCCGTGATATAACGTGGGCAGGGATGAACACACTTTCTGAACTGCTGTTCGCTCGCCATATTATATATATATCGTCTCTTTATAGTTTTTTTATATGTGAAAAACTCCTGCCTAGCAATTTCTAAGGACAGACTAAAACACTTTGAGACACAGACTGATATATTCACACACAGAGCGCTTGCTGAAGACTCAGAAGCTGACGCGCTTGTGGGGTGCTTATATAGTTTCCTGGTCGATGACGTCACCCGCCTATGACGTTCCGTCTCGCCATTGGACTGATTTCATACGTGCTTCATGACGCACTCACGCAGGGGTGTTCCCAAAGCGTTGTCACGCAGCTCGAGTTCCCTTCAGGGAACTGGAATTTCTTGATGCTTAATGTCACTTATCCCATATTCCTAGTTCTGAGTAGACGCAGATCACGATAGGCTCTCGGGTCAACTGTTAAAGCCTGTATCTGCTAAGCATTAAAAAAAAAAAAATAATAATAAAAAAAAAAAAACCTGAAGAGGGCAGCACTCAGACGGTTTTACAACACATATTGGAAAATTTAAACACTTTATACCCAAATGTCACAAAATGTACTCGAATCAATGAACAGCATTTATGAAGCTCCATTCTTACAGATCAATAACTAAAAAAAGTTGTTTTAGTGTTTAGTTACCCTTTAAACTCGCACAGCAACATTTGTGGCATGATATCAATCACCACAGAAATAACTGTCAACTCTCATTCTTTAGTTTAAAAAAAAAGTATAGTCACAAGGCTTAACCATTATCTATGTAAACATCACTTACTAATTTTGTCTGTGTACATTTATGTGCAATGTTTCATCTTTTTGTCATAACATAAAGCTGGTAAACCTGGTAACTGTTGTATGATATGCACTAGAGGCTGACATTTTTTCGGGAATCCCGCAGGATGGGAAACAAAATCACTATGCATCACAGGATTGGGACGGGAAAGGAAAAAATGTCAGCGGGAGTGGGCGGGACCGGGAATCGTAATAAAACTATGATACCCAACTTTATACACAAATATACAGTTTCTATAAATAAACTCTATATTTAAATTTTGAACTAAATTCTATTTGCCCCGTCTCTTTATGCTCTCCTGTTTGCTTTGGTGTGGCTGGTAAAGTGAATGACGTGCTCCACAGTGAGCGGCGCTTGAGCGTAACTACATCGTCACTGCAGCTGCAGACGCGCGAGAGTATTCACACTGGAAGCGTTTGTACAGTGTCACTGCAGCGGCTCCAAAGCTACATAAGCGAGCAATTCTTTACAAAGAAGTTTTAGAAGTTGGTAATTTATAAAATTGATAGTCTTGAAAGTTTGTTAAGGGGAGGTGTACAACATTTGCATATAAATGTTAAACAAAACAACCCAGAAAATGGCTCCAATCTATTCGTTTCAGTCATACTTTCGATATGTTTACAAGACTACAAAACACACACACACAAAAAGCCGCACACTTGGGTTTAATTTGGGTTGTAGCTGTCTGTGTTACATAAACTAAAAGAAACTTTATATATAATATTTTCTGGCTAGTTTACTTTAGTTTTTTTAATATATAATACACCATTAATATATATATATATATATATATATATATATATATATATATATATATATATATATATATATATATAAAATACACCATTATATTTATTTTAAATATAATATATATTTATATAATATATATTCAGCCAAAACTGAATAATTAAAAACAAGTTTAAACAGTCTAATCTTCTATAGGCCTAACTATTTTTTAGTCTTCATTTTCTTTTTTTGCCTTCTCAAGTTTTTGCTAAAACTCACTAGACATGCTTATTCTGCGCATTTTGGGCACTTTTTGTGTGAAATTTTGTCTATCAGAGAGGAGCTTTAGTGTTGCTGGAAGATTAATTGAGGAAAGGCGCACCAGCCTCAGTCTGGAATGTGTGGACACACTCTTCTTCTTACATAGCAACAGTGAGACTCATTCTTAAAGGAAATCTTAGTTCAAGAAGGAAATTAGTTTTTTGTTTAAATTTTGTTCTTTCAGTTCAATAAAGTAACAAACTGTGCTATGCTCATATCTGAACTGTATTTTTTTACTGTAACTGACAGATTCCGGTAAAAAAAACACAACACAGGAGTGGGAGGGAATAGGAGTCATTCTTCTGGGATTGGGACGGGATTGGATGTTTTTTCGTGGGATCGGGACGGGACAGGATTTTTTTTTGGGAGAGGGCCTCTATTTGAGACCGGCCTTTATTTACCCAAACCTGCAGCCACACCAGGCGTGTAAAAGAGACAGGCGTCTATTTGGGACTCGGCTATTATTTGAAGTTTTACGGTATATGGATGTACATTGAGGTAATCATTCCTCACAGAGCCTGTTTTATTATGTTAGGTGCTAATAAATACTATTAAGTGTGAGATTTTAACCATTCATGACAATTGACTCAAATGACCAGAGGTGCTTCTGTGATTATTCCTCCGCGTCCCATAAGGACACCGACCGCTGATCTTGAACTTTAGTCACAACATTTGTGAAATGGAAAATAACTTTGACTCGGAGATAAACATCTTCTGAACCCGGAACATCCCTTTGATTGTAAGTAACAATTAACTTGAACTGCTTATTTATCTGAAGCAATATAGATAAAGTACAAAGACAGTAAATCAGGACACTATAAAAGGAACATGAGAGGCTGTGAGGATGAAGAGCAAGAGCTGGAAACAAACATCAGTGAAGAATGAAGGGTTTAGTATGTTTACTGCTGCTGTTGGAAACCTTTGTGTGTGTCGTACAGCATCAGGTAGATGGAGGACTCAATGAGAATGAGATCAGTCAACAGCTCAGATCTGAGGACGGAGGACAGAATACACCTCAAACAGACACTTTGAGAGATGAAGCTTCAACTGACAGCCAACAAAACTACCATCTGTGCTTCACTGACATCCATGCAGCGCTGAGAGAACTGACCGCCACAGTTACAGAGCAGAAAACAAACATCAGAGAACTGACCGCCACAGTTACAGAGCAGAAAACACACAACAGAGAACTGACTGCCACAGTTACAGAGCAGAAAACAAACATCAGAGAACTGACCGCCACAGTTACAGAGCAGAAAACACACATCAGAGAACTGACCGCCACAGTTACAGAGCAGAAAACACACATCAGAGAACTGACCGCCACAGTTACAGAGCAGAAAACAAACATCAGAGAACTGACCGCCACAGTTACAGAGCAGAAAACACACATCAGAGAACTGACCGCCACAGTTACAGAGCAGAAAACACACATCAGAGAACTGACCGCCACAGTTACAGAGCAGAAAACACACATCAGAGCTTTAGAGATGCAACAGACGTTTATCCTGGAAGAGCTGAAGAAGAAAAATGATGGTACCTCACCAAAACATTCACTCTTTTAACGATGATCCTCAAAGTTGAACACCAGTGCAATACATTGCATAGTGTAAATGTTAGTGTAAAGTTGAGTGTATACTGTATTATCTATCTACTACAATACAATTTCATTTAACAGAATCATTATTCCTTCACAGAAATATCAAATCTTACTCTGGGTCAAGTGGAGTTGAGAAAGGAAAATACAGGTGAAAGTGTGCTTGAATGATGTTAAATTCAGTGTATACATTCTCAGTGTAATAGAGATATATATCACAATATTGTTTATGTTTTTCAATAACAGACAGAGAAATAGCTTTTTCAGCTTCACTGATGGAATCTGGCGATGGATATATTGGTCCTTTTCCCACTGACTTCACACTAACCTACAGCAAAGTCTTTACAAACATAGGGAACGCCTACAACCCAATCACAGGTAATGATCAATGAAATGAGTTTATAGTAATGAAAACCCTTCTGCTCCATTCAGACCTCTCTGCAGATGTGTAATGTGGATAAGAAAATAAAATGATCTGCCATCTTTTAAAACTATTGCACAGTGTGTTTGCTGATTAAGTGATCATACAGGAAACATCTGATTCTGTATCTCTTGTTATTTGATTTAGGTATTTTCACAGCCCCACTGAAAGGAGCGTACATGTTCAGAATCTCTGTATATGGTCATGGTCCAACTCCAGCAACTGCAGCCATTGTTAAGAATGGAGAGCGTGTGGTTGTGGCACATGCTAATCAGGCAAAGGATGCTTTAAACTCCTCTAATGGAGTTGTGTTGATTCTGGAGGTTGGAGATGTTGTCTATGTGAGACTTATGTCTGGCAGGAGGATATTTGATAACCAGAATAACCCCAACACTTTCAGTGGTTTCCTACTGTTTCCCTTAAGATAACAGGAGCTTTACAGAATGTGATTCCAATAATACTGAGCATTCAGTGTATGATTTAAGATGGAAATCATGAAGAATCATTAACATGAACCTGTGTTAAAGAGGAATAATGTGCGTTTGAAATTTGATTGAAATAGATTACTGTATAAAAGTCAGTATGAGACACTATAATCAAGAGTTCTGAACTGTATATGTAACGTTGTATAAATCATGTGACTCAAAAGTATTTGTTAAAATAGTAAATCTAGAATGTTAAATAATAACTTTTAAGTGTATCATGTTATTGATGCTTGATCTGTATCTCTTCATCCTTCATAAATAAATATTATATAATAATTCATATGTTCAGGATCTCTGTATTTGGTTTTGGCGGAACTCCATCTCCAACTGCAGCCATTGTTAAGAATGGACAGCATACGGTTATGGCACATGAATATCAGTCTCAGGGTGATTTATACTCCTCTAATGGAGTTGTGTTGATCCTGGAGGTTGGAGATGTTGTCTATGTAAGACTTCGGTCTGGCAAGAGGATATATGATAGCCAGGATAACCACAACTCTTTCAGTGGTTTCCTACTGTTTCCCTTAAGATAACAGGAGCTTTGCTTAGCGTATGATTTAAGATGGAAATCATGAAGAATCATTAACATGATTAAGCCATTTTAATGAGGACTAATGTGTTTTTGAAGTTTGCAATAGATTAATGTATAAAAGTCTGAGCTGTCTATAAATGTAACTTTATATAAAGAGTTTCAGCACTGAGACAGACAGGAGCCATGAATATCACGTGACTCAAAAGTGTTTTGTTAAAGCAGTAAATCCAATAATGTTAAATGATATCTTTTTAAGTATAGTTTGTTGCTGATCCTTGATCTGTATCTCTTCACCCTAAATAAGAGAATAAAGAGACACTGTCGGGCCAGTGGCCTCGCAGCGCTGCCCTAAACCCCGCCCCTAACACGTCTTCCTGGATCAAACGTCATACAACCCAACCCATTCCTATTTTTGTGGTATTATGAATTTATTCTTTTTTTAAGTTAGGAAGATAGCATGTGTATTAAAGGGGACATATCATGCTTTTAAATCATTCCTTTTTACATATAAATCATCTTCATATGGATGTATCGCAATTGTGTGTTACTGTATTTACAGTAACTTCTCCATCCATGCCCACTACTACAAAAGTGAAAGTCGATTATTTCTCTTGTTAAAACAAGCACACTAACAAGACAAATGACTACGGCCTAATCTTACCACTAATAATCTGTATTGATAATATGCTACGTTTAGAAAAGCATCAGAAAACACAGCAGCTAAATGACCATTGTCATGATGAAACTCAACAACAGTAATACTGCTACAGACGTGTACTTAAAAAAGAAAGAAAGAAAGAAAGACAAAGGTAAACCATGACCACCGTGTGTTTTAAGAAAGTAAAGTACTTTATTTTTATTAACGTTATTTACAGCTTACCGAAGTGATCTGTTCGTCGTCTCCAAAGATAGAAGGAATTGATCCCTCAATCAGACGAAGTCTATCGGCAAATCCTTCTTTATAGTCCGTGAGGCAAACCCCCAAATTTCAGAAATTTGTCTCATAAGAGGGCACCAATGCTACTCTTTTTTATTCAACAGAGGGTATTCTTAGTGGGTAGCTTAAGGTAAAAAAATCACCAATTTTATGTTTGACCCCCCAAACATTTGGCAAATTCCATTTACGGTCGGTTATTTCTATAATTCATTATTTTTGGTACCAAAACATTCATACTTGATGATATCTAGGTTGGAATTTTGTCAAAATTTTAACTTGTTTAAAAAATATTGTTATTGTGATAATTTTTTTTGCAGAAAACATAGTGGTGTACAGCTTTAACTCATTGTTTTAACCTTAAGACCAGTCTGTAAATGCCTCCGTTTAACAGGTAAGAATGAATTTTGCAATGAGGGCGTGGCTATCGAACAAACGCTCTGGCTATTCAGCGACTCGCAAGCTCGTTTAGAGCGGGGACCAAGAGTCCCCACAGAACCTTTCTGAGGATGCTAGGCCTCATGGCCTCTGCTTCATAAGTACGTCCGCAGAGTATGCTACACATACTGCAGTACTGGCTAAAACCACAGGTTTCCCCCCAATCATGGCGCTAAAGCCATCTCTATATTAGGGTAAACCACGGCTGCACCAGAGTCCTGGTCGAAACCCAGTCTCTTGGAGTCAGGGGTGAGCTTGGACCAGCACAGAGGGACGGTTTCATATCAACTGCCTAGAATTGCTGGTGGTTTTAAAACCTTTCTACCACGTTTGTCAGGTCACCATGTCCTGGTCCACACAGACAACACAACAGTAGTGTCCTATATAAACTGCCGGGGGGGGGGGGGGGGGGGGCTCAGGTTGAGACGACTGTACGAACTGGCCAGAAGTCTCCTCTTATGGGCAGAAAACAACCTGCGCTCGCTGAGAGCAACGCATGTTCCACAGAAACTGAACCAGGAAGCAGATATGCTGTCCCGGGGCAATGTGTCCCCAGGGGAATGGACCCTCCATCCCCAAACAGTTCAAATTATCTGGAGTGTTTTCAGGAGGGCAGAGGTCAAATTCTTTGCTTCCAAAGACAACTCTCACTGCCCAATATTTTTCTCGAAAAGCAGGAATGCGCTGGCTCACGAATGGCCCAGCCTTCCCCTGTATGCCTTTCCTCCAGTCTTGCTCCTCCCTCAGGTCATAAAGAGGATCAGGGAGGGCAGACACTCAGTCCTACTAGTGGCCCCTCTCTGGCAGACCCAACCTTGGTTCCCCGAGTTGATTCTGCTGCTCACAGCAGCCCCATGGCCAATACCCCTGAGGAAAGACCTAGGCGAACAGGAAGATTTGGCACCCCCCGTCCCAAACTATGGGCCCTCAATGTGTGGCCCCTCGACGGGAGCTAGTGGAGCTCCCAGCAAGTGTCCTGAGCACAATCAATGAGGCTAGAGCTCCGTCCACAAAGACGCCTCTATGCTCTTAAGTGGTCTGTGTTCTCTGGCTGGTGCTCAGCAAGAAACCAGGACCCAAACCTATGTGAAGTGTCACCAGGACCCAAACCTATGTGAGGTGTCACTGATACTTTTCTCCAAACTCATTCAACCCTGTTTAAAGCACAAGTGATCACTCTCTCTGCTCTTCCCACATCAGAAGATGAGCAGCAATTACACCTACTCTGCCCGGTACAGACGCTCCGCTCAGTACAAACAGTCAGAGCAGCTCTTTATGAGCTTCGGTGGTCGCACAGTGCTTGATCACAAAGCAAAGATTATGCCGATGGCTGGTGGATGCTATGGCTTTAGCATATGCCTCTATGGGCCTGCAATGCCCCATAGGCATCACAGCTCCCTCCACTAGAGGCATGGCCTCCTCCTGGGCATGGTCCAGTGGAGTATCTATTGGCGATATATGTATAGTGGCCGGCTGGTCCTCGCAGTCCATCTACGCCAGGTTTTATAACTTGGAAGTCCCTGCACTGCAGGCACATATCCTTTCTGTGTGATGAAGTCAGCCTCAGTGAGCCAGGCCCATCATAATTAGGGCTTTTGCCCGTTCAACACGTCATGCCAAAAGGCCCTTGCTTCGGACCCTTATGCAAGCATCCTGACATCAGAAGATGTCGTTGCTGTTATCATAGCACAGCGTGATTGGGTTGGTTCCCCATAGCGTATAGCTACGCAATACATATGACCGTTCGAAGGGAGATGTATTGAACCATATTTGCACAAAATATTATTTTGTGTTAATATAATTCCCAAATTTTTATATTTTACTTATTTTGTTGTATATTTTCTGTCCTAAAGAGCTTATATTTTATTTTATTTTTAATTTCACAGTGATATCTCATCATAAAAGAGAAGATCTAAAGCAATAGATATGTCAATATAACAGTTTATCAATGTTGAGATTTAGTTTGCATAATTAGAATTTTTCAGCACAGTTAAATGTAAAATTGGTATTTTTCATACCTTAAGGCTTAAGCTACCTACATGGCACTGCTATCATGCATTTTTGTGGTCAGGGGGCATGCCTGTTTTGAAAAATAACCATTAGAATTGGTGCCCTTTTTGATACCAATTTTCTCCCCGCCTCACGGACTTATTATACTGGTGGAGGTTGCTGAAGTAGTTATCCTTGAAGTGCTTCGCGCACTCAAAAATGACTTTACCCACAGATGTGGGTACAGATGTGGGTACATTTCCGTGAAAAATAAAACTCAACCAGGCACTTCGAAGAGGTTCTGATGCTGGGAGACGGTGTAATGAAGCGTGTGGGTTACTACATCCAACAACCGAACATTTTGACTTGCCCTCTCGTAACTTCTGCATTCTTGAGCTTGGACTATAAAATTGCAGCGAGAAATGAAAATGGCAGATTGCACGAAGTGTTGGGCCGGGAGTCGATGTCCTTATTTGTCAGTTCTGCTGCAAATACTGTGACGTAATTGTTCAAAAAACGTCATAGAGAATAGAAAAATCGGAACAGGTTGCAAAATATGACCGAAACAGAATATAAAGATATCAACGAAACATCTGAAGAGACTAATTTCAACTTTTCTGTACTTATAAACACTCCAAATATACAACAAAATGCACATTTTGACTTGCCCTCTCGTAACTTCTGCATTCTTGAGCTTGGACTATAAAATTGCAGCGAGAAATGAAAATGGCAGATTGCACGAAGTGTTGGGCCGGGAGTCGATGTCCTTATTTGTCAGTTCTGCTGCAAATACTGTGACGTAATTGTTCAAAAAACGTCATAGAGAATAGAAAAATCGGAACAGGTTGCAAAATATGACCGAAACAGAATATAAAGATATCAACGAAACATCTGAAGAGACTAATTTCAACTTTTCTGTACTTATAAACACTCCAAATATACAACAAAATGCATTTACGGGCTAAAAAAGAGGATTTAGCATATGTCCAAAAAAAACCGAACATTTTGACTTGCCCTCTCGTAACTTCTGCATTCTTGAGCTTGGACTATAAAATTGCAGCGAGAAATGAAAATGGCAGATTGCACGAAGTGTTGGGCCGG